TTGAGCACCTGGTTTCCTGTCAGTAATTATACTAGGTTTTAGGGGTAGAAAATCAGAAAGGTGTGGCCTCTTCCCTTGCATCAGGCTCTCTCGTGGAGGAGACAGAGTTCTAACAGCCAACAAAGAACAGCAAGTCTGCATGAACATAAAGTAGGAGGAATGGGGAGCGGAGTGGAGCAGAGAGGGACTCATCCTGCCTGGCAGAGGCATGAAAATCTTCGCAAAGGAGATGCCTTTGTGCTAAGCCCAGACAGATCTTCCCTGGCAGGAGTGGGAGAAGGGCATCGTGGGCTGGGAGGAGGCATGGAAGGTGGGACACAGTTTAAGATGCTTAATGGGGGGTGGCGGCAAATTAAAATGGGAAGAGAAACCCAGGCCAGAATGTGAAGGACCTTGAACGTCAGGCTAAGGACTTTGGCCAAAGCAGTCTCTACCAAAGGACTCAGGAGGAAAAAAAAATTAAAAGGAGGCGTGTCCTCGTGTGCTGGGAGCAAGGAGCCAAGGGAGCGGGTCCCATGGGGAGGCCACTGGAGGCATCCACGGTGAAGGTGGTGGCGGTCAGACCCAGGGCAGGAACACTGCAAGCCAAGAGGACGTGGTGATTTGAGAAGCCTTCAAAGGGGGTATGTGCAGGCGAGGGATGGAGTATTGAAGACAAGAGACGAGAAGGAGGCAGAGATGACTCCAACTCTTCTGCAGAGACCAGAGTAGCAGCTGATACCTACTGAGAGCCTGTCCTGGGTCAGGCACTGTGTCGAGCTCATCTCAGGTATTATGTACATTATGGCACTGAATGTTCACACGTGCAATTTAAGGCATATACCATTATATTTTTGTCTATTCTTCAAAAGAGAAATGATTTTTAAAAGCATTATTAGGGATAGAAAATGCAGTTAAAAATAAACCTTGCAAATCACCAAGAAGATAAGAAAACTCTAAACTTGCACTCATCTAGTAAGTTACAAAATGTACAAAACAAAACGTGGACGATTAGCAAGAGAGAATTAATAGATCCATCATCATACTAGAAAATTTCAGTATAGTGTTTTTTTTCTTAAGAAAAGGTGAAGCACACAAAAAATAGGCTAGGAATGAGGCAATTTAATGATACAACCAGATAGTTAATTTAAAGACCGCATATAGCACCCTGTATCTTAAAATTAGAGAATATCCATTCTCTCAAGAAATCTTTTACAAAAATGAATTATGCATCAGGCTATAAACCAAACTCAACAAATTTCAAAGAATTAGTAATACAAGTTTTTCTAACAAATGTAGCAAACTACAAATCAAAACAAAAAGAATGTTTTGCATACATTTGCAAATTAGAAATTCTAAATAAGTCCTAGGTTGAAGAAGAAACTGCGACAGAAACTAAAAATGTGTAGAACAAAGCAGTAATGAGAATACTGCCCATTGAAACGTGTGGACTCAAAGACATAATTAAGGAAATGTATAGCACCAGTTGTGATTATATTAGAAAAATAGAAATGCTGAAATTAAGAAGCCAAGTGTCAAACTTAAAAGTTAAGAAGAGAGGATAATGAGACAGGGTAGAACAGAGATTAATAAGATAGAAACAAAGGCGCACTGGTGTCTCTGACCCGTGAGCCACAGATGCAGGGAAGAGAATCAAAGCAGTTCAGCTGCAGGTAAAATACCTGAATCGAGAGTAAAGCTGCTGCCCAAAGTTGGCGGCTCACACCTAGCAAAGAAGATTACCTGGTGTAGCACAGGAAACCACACTCATTAGAGAATATTAACAAAACCCAGAGTGTCCAGAAATTGATATCCATAATGTCTAGGATATAGTGCAAAATCACCCTACTTACAAAGACCCCAAAAAGGAACACACTTTCAGCATAAAAGAAAATTAATTGAGTCTGACCCCAAAAGGAAACAGATTTTGGAACTGATAGACAAAGATCTTAAAATATATATTATAATTATGCTTAATGAATTAACATGAGCATGTTTTCAATGAATGAAAATCTCAGCAGGGAAATGAGAAATCTCCACAGAAAAACAGAAGCAGTAAAAAGAACAAAATGGAAAATCCTAAACATAAGAACATAGATGCTGAAATGTAAAAATGCACTGGTTGGCGTTGATAGTCAAATATCATGACAAAGGAAAGACAAAGCGGCTTTCGTGACAGATCATTAGAAATTATTCAAAGTGAACAGAGGAAAAAGTTTTTAATGAACAGAGCATCAGAGACTCTTAGATAATATCAAGATTCCCAATATATGTGCAATTGGAGTTACTGGGAGAGGAGATGGATAAATAGAAAAAATATTTGGCAAATTAACAGCTAAAGATTTGATGAAGACATAGATTTGCAGATACAAGATGCTCATCACACACAGTAAACACATAGAAGCCCAATCAAAAGTGCATTGTAGGACGCCTGGGTCGCTCAGTCAGTTAAGTGTCCGCCTTCAGCTCAGGTCATGATGCCAGGGTCCTGTGATTGAGCCCCGCATCGGGCTCCCTGCTCGGCAGGGAGTCTGCTTCTCCCTCTGCCCCTCCCCCAACTCATTCTCCCTCCCTCTCTCTCTCTCTCTAATAAATAAATAAAAATATTTTTTAAAAAAAGTAGTTTGTACTTGGGCTGTTGGAAACCGAAGGCCACAAATCAATCTCGAAAACAGCAAAAGAAAAAATGCATAGGAATAGCATGCAGGGAAATAACAATTCAATTAATACCTGACTTCTCATTAGAAACCATGGTGACCAGAAGAAATTTTAAGAGAAAAAAATAAAAACTATCAACCTAGAAATCTATATTAAGAGAAAATATCCTTTGGGGCCCCCTGGGTGGCTCAGTCAATTAAGCGACTGACTCTTAATCTCAGCTCAGGTTTTGATCTCAGGGTCATGAGTTCAAGCCCCGTGTTGGGCTCCACGCTGGGTGTGGAGCCTGCTTAAATGGCTAACTGAACATAATAAAATAATAATAATAATAATAATAGTAATAATAATAATATATTTTTAATAATTTAAAATTTTTTTTAAAAATTAAATTTAAAAGGAGAGAAAATATCCTTCAAAAATGAAGGTTAACCGAAGATATTTTCAGATAAAACCAAGTTCAAGGACTTGATTGCCAGCAGATCCATACAACCAAACACCTAAAGCAAGTTCTCAAGAGGATAGGAAAATGATAATACCTGGTATAAACTCAGATCCTAATGAAGTATAAAACGCATCAGAAATGTCAAATAATGGGCAAATGCAAAACACATTTTTTCCTTTTTGACTTTTTCTTCTTAATCTCTTCATCAACGATATACTGTTACAAACAGTAATTGTGACACCTTGTGGAAGATGTAAAGTATCTAGATGTAATCCACATGACAATGATAACAGCATGGGACTGGATGTGCACTGAAAACGTGCCAGATTTCTGGATTTCTTGAGAAGTGGTACATTATTAACTCATTGCAGACTGAAAAGTGGAGTATAGATTCTAATCCCTAGTACAAGCCCTAGAAGAAATGCAAAGAAATACAGCTAAAATAGGGAAAATAAAATTCTGAGGAGTATCTGACAATAAAGTGGAAGGCAGAAATAAGAAAGAGGGAAATAAGAAGTGGAGACAAGCCACACACACACAGGAACACAGCCGTATCAATAATTTCATTAAATGTGCCTCCGGGACATTTATGAGGATAGACCATATATGGACCACAAAAATGTCTTAATGAGTTTCAAAAGACTGAAATCATGTACAGAGTATTCTTTGATCCCGTGAATTTAAATTAAAAATCTATAAAATAAGAGGGCCCGAATAGCTTTATATACTTGCAAATTAAACACCATGTTTCTAAATAATCACTGGGCCGAGCAGACATTGCGGGGCGGGGGAGGGGGGGAGGGGAGGGACTAGAAATAATTTGAACTGAATAATAATGTAGCTCAGTGTATCAAAATTCGTGAGATGTAGCTAACACCATCCATAGAGGGAAATTTTTAGCTTTGATAGTTTTATTAGAAAGGATGGAAAATCAAACCAAAGATCTATGCTTCCTCCTTAACCTGGAGAAAGAAGAGAGAATTAAAACCAAAGCAAGTGGCAGCACAGGATAAAAAAAGAATGTAATTCTATGAAATAAAGAGTAGAAATGGTAATGTCATTTGAATTAATGCAGTCTGCATGGTGTTGTTCATTCAGCAACTAATGATTGTGTGAGATGCCCAGACCATTACACTGGCTCCCTATTACCACCTTCACTCAGAAAGACAGTATTTCTTCTCCCCATTGTGTGCCCGCCTCCCCACCAGCAATCCTGTCCTTCAGAAAATGTACTCTTCCATTCACAGTAGGTACACACACGCCTCAATGTCTGCACATGTACCCCAACAACCATACTGATCAGCGTAGGTGTTTTACTGACTTCCTAAGGGGCTATTTGAAATCTCGGTTGGTCATACCAAGGACCACTGTCACCATCGCTGAGGGTGGGATGTACAGTTACAAGGATGCGCATGACCAAGACATGGTCAGCTCCTCCAGGGGCTGCAGGGAAGGTTATGGACTAAGTGGAGGCAGTCTTGCAGGATACGGATGTAGGTGTGAGCAGATGTGTGTATGCATGTACAGATTTTACCCAAGCTCTAGATACAGGAGATCAGTCCCCTTTGTGCCAAGTATTGCCTCTGCTTTCTGGTAGCGAGTTTCTTAATTAATCTGCTCTGCGTGTCCACTCTGTGTGTTCTACTCAAGAAAGTTCGAGATTGTCCTAGAGACGTTATGGGCGTGTGCCGTAGTGCTTTATGCCTCAGTGTGTAGAGTAGGAGAAAAGATTCAGAGAGAAGCTTCACGTGAGGTTGTATGGAGAGCAGCTGAATATACTTGTCCAGATTAAAAGGACCCTTTGATGAAACACAGGATCTATTTTTGTCAGAACTAGTTGATTCCTTTGGTGAAAGTGTCCATCAGAAGCCTACTGAGTTCCTTAATGTCTCGTGTTTCCTTTTTATTTCCTCTCTTGTAGATAAAGAATTCATCTACAGAGAACAGAAAGGAAGTGTGATCCTGCGGAATGTTGAAACAAATGTTTCTACAGTGTTAATAGAAGGCAAAAAAATTGTAAGTACTCTCTCTAATGACCAGGGTAATTTCAGTTTTCCCTCCTGCAAGTCAATAAAGCAGAAAATGACTTTGGGTTTCAACTTTTAGTAGGAGCTGAGCAGAAGCAATAGACTTGCAATACTACAGCCTGAGCTACTAAAGATAATGTGAAATTGAAGCCTTGCTAATTTAATAAGATGAAAGCAGTTTCTTCCAGCATGTGGGACATTTCTCTGCAGGTGTTGGAAACAAGTGTTGCATTCCATATATAATTGGAAGATAACGTCCTAAGGCTTTAGACATTTACAGAACAATTGCAATAATGCACAGAGAATACTTCAGGAGGCCTTGCTCAATCTCGTTTTTGTTTTTTTTTTTTAACTCCACACGCAAAGGGAATATTAATTTAGGCACTGACTGCGCCCGCTCTGATGACATTAAGGGATGTTTATTCTTTAAAACGAGTACTGAGTCGATGTGAATGCCACCGCTTTGGAATCTGGAAAAACCTGATTTCCCAAAGATTTAAGTAACATTAAGATTCGGAGTTCATGTACAGCTGAAGATATTTATTAAAAACCTTCACTGAAGTTCTGCACCAAAAATCAATTTGAAGAGAATTCACTTTTTTCTTTTACAGTATGTTTATGCTCATCATTATAAAGCGTAAACTTCCAGCTTTAGGGAGTGCATTGCTTTCTTGTCCAATACACAAGGATTCGGAATCAGAACGATCATTACATACCTCTGATGTGAATCAGGAGACAGGTGCCCTGAAATCCAAGAATCCAGGCATTAGACGAAAACCACAGGAAAGATTAGTCAGCTCCCTGGTTTTACAGATAAGGATCCAGAGCCCAGAGCTGGGGAGTGAGCTTTTCAGGGTCCCACAGCCAGTTAGTGACCCCATACCCCAGCCCATGGAAATGCTACTCTACCCCCTCCCCCTCTTCAAGAACATTCAACTCCCTAAATGTTTTTATTTCATTTATTTTTGGTGTAAACATACTTTTTTCTTTTTTTTTTTTTAAGATTTTATTTTATTTATTTGGGAGAGAGAGAGAGAGCACAAGAGGGGGTAGGGTCAGAGGGAGAAGCAGCCTCCCCGCTGAGCAGGGAACCCGATGCGGGACTCAATCCTGAGACCCCGGGATTATGACTTGAGCCAAAGGCAGATGCTTAACCAGCCGAGACACCCAGGTGCCCAACATACTTTTTTCTTTTTATTATTATTTATTTATTTATTTATTTTTATTATGTTATTTTAGTTACCATACAATACATCATTAGTTTTTGATGTGGTGATCCACGATCCATTGTTTTTGTATAACACCCAGTGCTCCATGCAGTACGTGCCCTCCTTCATACCCGTCACTGGGCTAGCCCATCCCCCCACCCCCCTCCCCTCTAGAACCCTGTTTGTTTCTCAGAGTCCATAGTCTCTCATGGTTCATCTCTCCCTCCAATTCCCCCCTTCATTATACTTTTTCTTTTTCTTTTTTTTTTAAAGATTTTATTTATTTATTTGACAGAGAGAGAGATAGCGAGAGAGGGAACACAAGCAGGGGGAGTGGAAGAGGGAGAAGCAGGCCTCCCACGGAGCAGGGAGCCCGATGGGGGGCTCGATCCCAGGACCCTGGGATCATGACCTGAGCCAAAGGCAGACGCTTAATGACTGAGCCACCCAGGCGCCCCCATTATACTTTTTTCTTAAAAAAAATACTTCTTGGGGTTTAGTATTAAATGGACCCTCCCTTTACCTGGACTGTTTGCTGGTATGAGGGAGGCCTAGCAAGGTTACATCATGGCGTCATTCCCAAAATGATAGCTTTATCAAATTAAATCATATTCTGCAAAGTGAGACCCAAAAAGAAGGAATGTGAATGCATTTTTGCATTAAAAAAATCACCTTTGGTAGAATTACTCCCCTAAGAAAATCTCAGTCAACCCACTTAAAAATACTAAAATTGCAGAAATGGTTTTGTAATATTAACTGAGTGGAGAAAATGACCAGATGGTTGCTGAGGGCAAGTGCACTTTAATGTCAGCGTGTTACCCCTACCTCTGTGAGGACGCCAGGTTGGTACAAGCCAGGCACCCTGCACGCAGCTGCACTTAGTAACAAAATACAAGAGCAGGAGCTGTCTTCTCTCAGATCAATAGCTTGTGACAGGACCATGTATTTTAACTGAGGTTATTTTAGCCAAATAATAAGCCGACTTCAGAAATCACTTTAGGTAAGAAAAAGAGAAGAGCTCCTCTGAGAATTGGTGGGCTTATTCCATACAGTGCAATCTTTTTCTCTTTAAGATGTCATTATTCACTCAAATCGCAAACATTGAAGGAGCACCAAACGTGCAGAGCCCGACTGATATTATTCAGGATCATGCCTAGTTTATTCTTGTCTCAAAGGCTCCATTTAAGTGCTTCTGTAAGCAAATCTCAAAAGAATGAGAAAGAGGGAAGTCAGTTTGGGGCCGCATCATCATCATCCAGGATGCAGAAGTCCCGTGTTTAGATTCTGCTGAGCCAGTCATTAAAATTCTCATGCCTCAGTTGCGCGGCCTAGAACACGGGTCTTCCGTGAGAGGCACCATGGACCGTCTTTCTCCTCTGTGTTTTCTTGAGCAGGTATTGAGAAAGTGAAGCATGATTTGTGAGGGGCGAGTTTGCGGGATCGTCTGCACCCGGAGGAACGGAGTGGGTGGCTTTGAGTGGGGACATGGAGCCGAGGCTCTTGGGTGTTCTGTCCTCTTGCCTTTCTGACGACTAACCAGGGGGCCTCTTCTTATTTGAAACCCAGAAGCATTGAGATTGTTTACATGATAAAACCGACTGGTTTTTAAGGTTGGTCTGTAAAAGGTCTGAAACTGGTGGGAGAAACTGACACGGAGTTGTGCAGTTGTGCGTGCAGTGGTCAGCAGGATTTTGAACTATTCCCTGCAACCTTGACCTCTAACCTCACTCTCTCAGACCCTCACACACAGGGTGACGTTAGGGTGTCCACACCCCGTTTGCCTGCCTCTTCCTCCTGGTCCTTGGCTTCCCGTGACTGGCTCTTTCCCGGGATGGATCAGTGGAAGGGGACGCAAAGGAAGGCAACCACTATGTGCATCTAGCAGAAAAACTTTTAAGAGAATTGGTGATTATGGACTTGTGTTCAGCACTCGGCTGTAACCACGGGACCTACCCCCCGTCCCCCCTATTGGGACTGCACTTTGTTCAGTAGCAACAGGACCTCAGGCCAGTTGTATAAGCTCCGTGTGCCTCCATGGGGTGTTGTAAGGACTGAGTGACAGGTTACATGTCACATGCCAGAATGTGGGCATGAGAGCGTTAGGCTGGAGCAGAGAGCCCAGGCGGCTCAGGGCTCAGGCAGGTGAGTGCATGACTGAGTCAGCGGTAGCAGGGGTGGAATCTGCACCCCCTGATTTTTTTAACTCCTTCTCTGCAGGCATTCAGGCTAGGCTGCTTCCCAGGCAGGGTCCTCGAACCTACCCACTGGTAGTAGGAATTATAGCAAGGGCACTCTCTCAGATTGTCCAAAACAAGAAATCAAACCTAAACTAACTTTCACTTGAATTACATATTTGATATCCCAGGAATTCCATGACATTACATTTTATTTACTCTTATTTTATTTTATGCTCCTAGAAGATACTTTTGTCAACAAATCAACAAATTATAAAAAGGTCTTTGTTACGTTATATATTCCATTTTTTCCCTGAGAAATGAAACACTATAAGTATGTCTTTGGGCCCAAACTGGGTCTTTGGATATTTGGACAATGGCTGCCTGGTTCCTGAGAAATCTTATGAATCTTTTCTCTACTGAGGAGAACACTGACTTTTTTTTTCCTTCCTTCTTTTCCTTTGCTATCCATCTGTCTACACATCCTATCATCTATCTATCTATCCATCCACCCATCTATCCATCTGTCCAACCGTCTATCTGTCCATCTGTCTATCGGTCTGTCCACCCATCCATCTTCTATCCATCTGTCCATCCATTCATTGTGTTTGGAAAGCACCTTGGCAATACATTCAAGATTAGTAAAAATATTTATACATTTCTGCTCATTCCAGGGAATTTTTTATAAGAATCTAAAAATTGAAAATATCTGAAGCTAGGGAAGTAATTAAATACAAATAGATGACATATGTAGCCATGAACAGCTATGAAGACAATAGTAATATGGAGATATGTATGATGTTGCCTTAAACAAACACAGAAGAATACAATATTACACTTCAATTAGCAACTGTCAGCATCATCTCTGTGTATTGAGAAGGCCAGGAAGTGCTCACTGCACTTTGCAAATAGCTCATCTGGTTGGGTGGGGAAAACTTTGTATATTATTTTTCATGGTAATGATTTCCATAATTGCTGTTTCTAGGCCCCTTATTCATTAATTTTAATCAGATTTTTAAGAATTCAGCACTACGTTCCAAAGAGATTAGACTTCCTCCAGCAGTGAATATGGAGGAGCCACGGACAGGTCTGCAAGTGCTTGGAAGGGCAAACACGCGCACACAGAAAGCATCCTGTTGCTCTGCTTGTGTCAGGTTTTCTTACTTTTTATGTCTTTATTAGTTTAATTACTAATCTACTTGTTTTAATTACTTATTTAAATTGCTAAATTAACATTTAAATAAAAAGTCTTCTTGTTTCTCTAATTTATGCTCCCCTTTGATTTTATATAATCACTAGACTGTAGAATTTGAATTTTTATCTGTCTCTAAAAATTAATGAATTCTGACTCCTCACAGAGAGGGACATAATTACAAGTATTATTAGACCCATTCCAGAATCAAGAGGAATAATGGATTCCTGGTGCTGTGGAGGAACTCCAGAATTTGTTGGAGATCAGAACTGGAGACCACTTTTTTTTTTCCTTTTTTCCTTCGTTTGCTAGGCTTGACTTTCACAATTATTAGTTTTCACTTCATTCTGTTTCATTTAATTTCCATCAAGGGCTTCATGTGCCTGTGGTCTCATGTTTGGAGAAGGAGGAAGCC